AAACCCTAAACCCTAGACCCTAAACCCTAAACCCTAAACCCTAATTTCGGAAACCCCCAATGTAGAGAACCTCTTGTATTCTTCGCACAAATCTCTTCCGCGCACCGTGAATGAAAGGTCGTTTGCACTGGAGCGGACTTCTGGACTTCGCCCGGTGCTGAGATGGCCTGAAGCTGTGCGCCCTTGAGTCCTAAACCCTGAGCCGGCTTAGGGTTTAGGGTTTAGGGCTTAGGGTTTAGGGTTTAGGGTTTCGGAATTAGGGTTTAGGGTTTAGGGTTTAGGGCCCTAAAACCGAAGCCTAAAGCAGTTGCTGGGTTCGAGACAGCTGGGGCGCAGGGGCGTGGAGGGTTCAGAGCATGGCAGCCGTGCGGTTCCTTTTTTGGACTCCGCGTTTTCCTCCGGTTTAGGGTTTAGGGTTTAGGGTTTAGGGTTTAGGGGGAACGGTTTAGGGTTTGGTTGCTGGGACGATGCCCCCAACCTTGTTCCTAGACTAGGTGTTAGGGTCTGGGTTTCTTATGGCAGTTTATAAGGAATGATTTCCTATTGAAGGGATATCGGAGCCTCAAATTTGGGGTTTAGGGTTTAGGGTTTAGGGTTCAACTCAGGACCAAAGCTCTTTCGACCAAACAGTGCTGGAGTTCCTCGACTTGTGGCGCAACGCCGCAGGCTCAGGCGCTGAAGAGGAAGCGTTGGGGGGTGTTACTGCAGAGCCCTATAGGCCCCTAAACCCTAAACCTAAACCCTAAACCCTAAACCCTAAACCCTAAACCCTAAACCCTAAACCCTAAACCCTAGACCCTAAACCCTAAACCCTAAACCCTAAACCCTAAACCCTAAACCCTAAACCCTAAACCCTAAACCCTAGACCCTAGACCCTAGACCCTAGACCCTAAGCCCTGGGCCTCAAATCTTGGATCCTGAACCCTGCACTCCAAGCCCCTAAGCCCTTCAGTTGCAGGCTTTTGGACATTCTTATATCCTGACTAGCTGAATGGGTACACTTTACACTTTTTGGGATACCATAATCCCCTATAGAACTGAAAGCGTACACTTTTTTGGGGGGGCCTATGAACTCAGCAACTAAGTATCTTAACCCTCCCCCAAGATTCAGTGTTCCGCATCTACTGTCATGTGCTATGCGCGGGCTGGCAGGTTCCTGTCCGAACCTTTGATGTAAACCCTAATCCCTAAACCCTGAACCCTCCTAAACCGTCCTAGACCCTCCTAAACCGCCCTAAAACCCTGAACCCTAAACCCAAAACCCAAAACCCTGTGGAGCGAGGTCAAGCTGCGCAGAGAGTTCGGCGCTAAGTGCTGAGGGTGTAACTAGGGGCCCCCCAAAAAGCCCAGATAAACATCAGGATCCTGCAAACAGGGTTCTTTGGAATCCCCCCGAAAAGGGGTCCTTATACCCCAATAGTAGGATCCCCATGTTTCCGCGGTTTTTTTGGGCGCCTATGAACAGCTTTGCGGGTGTTTGGGGTCGAGGGTTGGGTTCAGGGTTGATGCAAGGATCTAGGGTTAAGGGGTATAAGGAGGGCCCCCTTAGAAGGGACCCGTCATCTTATTCTTATTCCCTATGTAAACCCTATGCATACCTTCTATCGTCCCTTGATACCTACGTAGCTCCAAAATAAACCCCTAAAGAACCCGAAGCCCTAAACCCTATACCCTATACCCTAAGCCCTAAACCCTAAACCCTAAACCCTAACCCTAAACCCTAAACCCTAAACCCTAAACCCTAAACCCTAAACCCTACCCCCTAAACCCTAAACCCTAAACCCTAAACCCCCCCCCCCCGTACCCTAAGGTCCCTACAAGGTCCCAGGGTACACTAATTTAGTGCCTTGAAGGGTTGCGGTTCCGGGGCAGGGGTGGTCAAAGGTACCACCAAAACCCTAAACCCAAAACCCAAACCCGAAAACCCAAACCAGAAACCTAAAACCAATTATACCCAAAACCCTAACCCGAAACCCCCAAAACCAGAAAAGAAGAAAACCCGAACCGAAACCTAAACCCGAAACCCTAAGGCCCATAAGACCATAAACCCTCTCTGACACTAAAGCCGAAAACCGCTAAACCCATAAACCCCCATAAGCCCTATAAGCCCTATAGCCTATAAACCCTATAAAACCTATAAAACCTCTATAAAAACCCTATAAGCCCCCTATAAACCCTATAAGCCCTTATAAATAAATAAAAATCATAAATATAAACCCTATAAGCCCTATAAACCCCATAAACCCTATAAGCCCTATAAACCCTAAACCCTATAAATCCTATGAACCCTAAACCCTAAACCCCAGACCCTAAACCCTACACCCTAAACCCTAAACCCCAAACTCCAAACCCCAAACCCCAAACCCCAGGCCCGGCAGCTTCGCAAGCGCGGGCTGCGCCGCGGTGCAGCAACCGTGGGCCGATTCACGACCCCGCCTCGCCGAGTGCCCCCTGGGTTTAGGGTTTAGGGTTTAGGGTTAGGGTTTAGGGTTTAGAGTTAGGGTTTAGGGTTTACGGTTTACGGTCGAGGGTTCAGGGTCTAGGGTTTAGGGTTTAGGTTTAGGGTTTGGGGGTTTGGCGGTTTTGGGTTTTGGGGCTTTGGGGGTTTGGGGGTTTGGGGGTTTGGGGGTTTGGGGGTTTGGGGGTTTGGGGGTGCTTGGGGGTTTGGGGGTTTGGGGTTTTGGGGGTTGGGGGTTTTGGGGGTTTGGGGGGGGGGGTTTGGGGGTTTGGGGGTTTGGGGGTTTGGGTGTTTGGGGGTTTGGGGGTTGGGGGGTTTGGGGGTTTGGGGGTTTGGGGGTTTGGGGGTTTGGGGGTTTGGGCGTTTGGGGGTTTGGGGGTTTGGGGTTTAGTGTTTCGGGGCTTTTGGGGGTTTGGGTGTTGAGGGTTGTAGGGCTTCAATGTTGGTAGGCGTCGTTCAGGGTTTAGGGTTTGGGGGTTTAGGGTTCAGGGTTGGGTTCAGGGGTTTTGGGGGTTTCAATTTCAGGGTTTGGGGCTTTGGGTCTAGGGGAATTGAGGGATTTAGTAGGGGTCTTCTCTGCCTCAGGGGTCTTGTCTTTGTCTTCTGCTATGGGCCGTATGGGTCTGTGGTTTGGGGGTCTGTGGGTAGGTGGGTGGAGCGTTTAGGGTTTGGAGGTGGGGCTCAACCTAAACCCTGAACCCTAGACCCTAAACCCTAAACCCTAAACCCAAAGCCCTAAACCCTAAACCCTAAACCCTAAACCCTAAACCCTAAACCCTAAATCCTAAATCCTAAACCCTAAACCCTAAACCCTAAACCCCTAAACCCTACACCCTACGCCTGTAGGTTTTGGGGGCCCCGGTGTTCCAGGTATTTCCAATGCTGGCATGCCTTTGTCACTCGTCTCAGGAAGGAGCTCAAATTAGGGTTAGATTTAGGGTTTAGGGTTTAGCGTCTAGGATTTAGGGTTTAGGTCTTAGGGTTCAGGGTTTAGGGCTTGGGGTTCAGGATTTTGGGTTTAGGGCTTCGGGTTGCGAACTGCAACCCCTATGCCCTTGACACCTTTCTGAGCCCTATGATCCCCCTGACAGCCCCAAACACCCTATAAATGCCTATAAACCCCTAAACACGAAAACCAATCGAAGTTGGGATATCCCCCCCTTGTACTAACAGTCCTGAATAGAGATGATCGTACTAAGAATAGGGTTTAGGGTTTAGGGTTTAGGGTTTAGGGTTTAGGGTTTAGGGTTTAGGGTTTAGGGTTTAGGGTTATCCCAACCTCTAAGCCTTACAATCCGACGAAAAGTTTCAGCGTTTCGGCACAATGTCAGCCTACCAGGATCCTAAACACTATAAACCCTCAGCCCGTAGCCAACCCCTAAACCCTACACCCTAAACCCTAAACCCTAAACCCTAAACCCTGAACCCTGACCCCTAACCCTGTGCCCTGAACCCGAACCTGAGCCCTCAACCCTGAGCTGCTTCTCAGACTTATGGCGTGCTTCAGGCGACTCTTGTAAGTTCTGGTCTCGATCCACAAGGGTTTTTTTTCGAGGACCGAAAAACTGGGGCCTGAGATGTAAAGGGTTTAGGGTTTAGGGTTTAGGGTTTAGGGTTTAGGATTAGGGTTTAGGGTTGGTTCAGATCAATCCCGTAGGGAGCCGTTGGCCCTAAACCTTGTTGTCGGGCTGTTGGGTTCAGGGTTGAAGGGCCTTGCCCTAAACCCTAAACTCTAAACCCTAAACCCTGAACCCTTAGGTTTTAGCCTTGGGGTTTAGGGCCTTAGCCTTAGGGTTCAGGGTTTCAGGGCCTTAGGGTTCAGGGTCTCGCGCAGGTCTCGGGTCCAGGAAAACATAACGCTGGTGCAGGGTTCAGGGTTTAGGGTTCCGGGTTTAGGTTTAGGGTTTAGAATTTAGGGTTTAGGGTTTAGGGTTTAGGATTTAGGGATTAGGATTTCGGGTTTAGGGTTTAGTGTTTAGGATTCAGGGTTTAGGGTTTAGGATTTAAGGTTTAGAGTTTAGGGGGTTTAGGGTTTAGGGTTTGGGGTTCAGGGTTCAGGGTTCAGGGTCCAGGGCGTGCTCTTTGCAGCCACTCTCTGCTCTGCGGCCATATGCGCGTTGCGCGCCTGCGGCAAGCAGGAGACTTGCCGGACTTCAACTGCGCGACATGTACACGTTGAGGCCCCGAAGCCCTAAGTCCTAAGCCCTAAACCCTAAACCCTGAACGCTGAACCCTAAACCCTAAACCCTAAACCCTAAACGCTAAACCCTAAACCCTAAACCCTAAACCCTAAACCCTAAACCCTAAACCCTAAACCCTACACCCTACATCAAAAACCCTAAGCCCTAGCCCCCAAATCGTAAATCCGAAACCCTCAGCCTCAGGGCTTAGGGTTTGGGGCAGCTAGGCAAGTTAGCATCCAACCACCACCCGAAACCCTAAACCCTAAACCCTAAACCCTAAACCTAATCCCTAAACCCTAATCCCTAATCCCTAAACCCTAAACTCCAAACAGAAGGAAGGCTTCAAAGCTGAATGGGACATGTACCTGGAATCCGATGGAGCGGTCAGCCGGGTACAAGAAACAGGCGGCTTGAAACAGGTTTTCCGCAGCAAGGGCAATGCAATCTGCGTCTTTCTGTTGCTGTGCTTCACTGCTTTCATTGGTCGCATTGGCTGGGAGTGGGCGATAATGACGGCAGAACTTGAGCCAGCTCAGATGGCGGCCGAAATGTTACCACTGCCGGCTGGGGAGACAAGGGTGCCAGAGGCCAGGCCGACGTCGTTTCCAGAGGCATGTAACGTGCTCCTGGCACAGGCCTCTCAGTCGGCTGGAGCGCCTTCTGGCCAACAAGACGAAACGTCGGTTGTTTGGGTTGGCGGCGCTGAAGGATACACCAATCAAATTCTGTCCATGCTGGACGTGTATCTTGGTAGCCCAGTGGCATCCTTTACCTTTTTTTTATTTGGGTTCAAGGTTCCCTTATGGAAAAAGCGGAGAAAGCAAGTTTCAGAAAAGGTTGCCCTTATTGTAAGATGCTTCCCTAAACCCTAAACCCTACACCCTAAGCCCTAAACCCTAAACCTAAACCCTAAACCCTAAACCCTAAACCCTAAACCCTACTGGGCTACCAAGGTACAGGAGCATTCAGCCCAGGACGCTGGTCATGGCTCCCATGCGAACTGAGCACGGCTATCCCGGCGTCGACCCCCCGCAGTGTCTGAGCGACGTGCTGCTCAGCAGTAGAGTATGTAACTTTCAACCTTTTTTGGGGTTTAGGGTTTAGGGTTTAACCCCCTTATAATCCCTAACCCCCTTATAATCCCAAAGCTTGAGTTCCCCTAAGTACCGGACAACTAAGGCTGGAACTCGAGAACGCGGTGTGCCTTCATCCGAGCAAGAGCACGCCCGAGGATGACCGCGATGAAGTCGTGAAGAGCAGGAACTGCAGCTTCGACGCAAGAGAGACGGGCGCCTTGAAAGGGGAAAAGACCTTAGGTGACCACTACTTGTACTGGCGCCTGCGCTACCTGGAGTCATGGCATCGGCTGCCGAAGGTTGCATTCAGCAGCTCCTCGCCGAAGTTCAACTGCATCTTTTCGCGCTCCTGGAGCAGCGCGAGTTGGGACCTCTGGCCGTCCCGGCTGAAAATCAAGGCTTCAGGAGGGTTTAGGGTTTAGGGTTTAGGGTTCAGGATTTAGGGTTAGGGGGGGGGTACCTTATGTAGTCCCTATATGGTCCCTTAGAAGGCAGCGTATGTGGAGCTCTTTCAGCGGATGAGAGAGACTTGGTCGCATCTGTGGGACCCTTTTACCCTTCCTCTTTTGGGGAGGGGGTTCCCTTATGAAGTAACCAACCAAAGAAAGGTACCTTTATTGTAATACTTTGTGTAAGATTTTAAATTTTTGAGGGTACTTAAACCCAATAAGGAATGTGCATGTAATGTTTAATACTATCCCAACCATGAAACGCTAAACCCTAAACCCTGAACCCAAAACCCTAAACCCTAAACCCTAAACCCTTATTGTAATATGGTTCCTGGGCCACTGAGGAGAGCTACTTCGGCAGTGCACCCTACTTGGCCGTTCACTGGCGTCGCGGGGACCAACTCGTCACAAAATGCCGGGTCACTGGGACCCAAGCTGTTGGCCCTTCTTCCGTTTCTGTAAGTCAAGTGTTCTGCAAGTGTTCGGGGTTCACTGTTTATAAACCCCTGTAAACGAGAACACAACGGGATTGGGGCTTACGGTTCAGGTACACTTTTGAAGCTCCTCAACCCCAAACAACCTTAACACCCTAAACCCCGAAACCCCGAAACCCTAAGCTCCGAAACCCTAAGCCCCGAAACCCCTAAACCCTAAACCCTAAACCCCGAAACCCCGAAACCCTAAACCCCGAAACCCCGAAACCCTAGACCCCGAAACCCCTACATCCTAAACCCTAAACCCTAAACCCTAAGCCCCGAAACCCCGAAACCCTAAACCCCGAAACCCCTAAACCCTACACCTTAAACCCTACACCCTAAACCCTAAACCCCTAAACCCCTAAACCCTAAACCCTAAACCCTAAACCCCTGAACCCCTAAATCCCAAAAACAACTATAGGTGAAGGTTGACACGTCGGCCAACTGTGGTTCGGCTGCCGACCTGCGCAGCTTCATCAACAAGAAGCTGGGCGGCAGGCCTTGGCAAGTTTATGTGGCTGGGACTGGGTCAGTTGTTTTTCTTTTGTGTGTGGGGTTTAGGGTTTAGGGTTTAGGGTTTAGGGTTTAGGGTTTAGAGTTTAGAGTTTAGGGTTTAGGGTTTAGGGGTCTGGGGTTTAGGGTTGTTGTGGGATTTGGCGTTTAGGGTGCCCTACAGGCCCCAAACCCTAGAGCTTACTCCCCGTGGTAGTCAAGAATACCCCCAAACGTGGACCAGCGCAGATGCGCTCAGCGAGCTAAACCCTAAACCCTAAACCCTAAACCCTAAACCCTAAACCCTAAACCCTAAACCCTAAACCCTAAACCCTAAACCCTAAACCCTAAACCCTAAACCCTAAACCCTAAACCCTAAACCCTATACCCTAAACCCTAAACCCTAAAAGCCCCTATGTCCTCCGTCGTCCTTAGCAAGCCTGGGAGACGTGAGGGAGGGGGGCCCAAACCCCAAACCCCAAGAGAATCCCTCATTATTCCTGAGGACCTGAGGTGCCCAATGCATGCATGATTCCTATTAGTCAGGGTTTAGCCCAAAGCTGAGCCGTTTGCTGGGAACCCTGAACCCTACACGCTAAACCCTAAACCCTAAACCCTAAACCCTAAATCCTAAACCCTACACCCTAAACCCTTAACCGAGGTGGCAACCAACGAGCAGGACAATGCAACTCTTGCACAGCTGCGGGAGTTCGGCTACCGGCTTCAAAGCGACTCCGGCTGCGACTTTAATTCCTTGGAGCCCCTTGGCTTTGTGCCAACTCATGGAGCTTTGAGAGCTGTTTCCGGGTTTAGGGTTTAGGGTTGAGGGTTTAGGGTTTAGGGTTTAGGGTAGTTGAGGGTTTAGGGTTTAGGGTTTAGGGTTTAGGGCTACAGGGCTGAAAGATGTTAGGAACCAGGAAGTAGGGCCCTCTCTCCTTCGCCTGGCTCTTGAAGAGAAATGGAAAGGCCCTAAACCCTAAACCCTAAACCCTAAACCCTAAACCCTAAACCCTAAACCCTAAACCCTAAACCCTAAACCCTAAACCCTAAACCCTAGACCCCAAACCCCGCATTGACGGCATACATTGCGGGAACATCCCATGCTGGAGCGCGTGCAGACCGAAATTGCTCCGTCGTTCACGGTGCGTGAAGTCCTTGGCACTCGAGAGGATGCTTACGACTTAATGAACGGCTTAATCGCATCCATCAATGACGGGCGCCCCCGCCGCCTGCGTAATGGGTCTGAGTTTGTTGGGGAGCTGGCCCCTGTCAGTGCGATTCGCCGCCGCCTGAACCAGAGCCCTTATATAGACGCATATGTTTCACGGAGAGCACTGTTCTACAGAGAGAAGTACGACGTGGCTCAAGCTCACGATGCTGTGGTGATCGCCTCTGTCCACAACGCGGCAGCGTCACTGGAAAGTTATCTCCAGCCGCGCCTGGTTGGATCTGTGAGTGAAGAGCGCGCTGAGCTGTTGGTGCCTGCACTGGCCATCTGGACGGCAGACGTGTTTGATGCCAACTACATTGTGTCACCGCACCAAGTGGCCCGTTCCTTGCCTCGTGCGTACTCGACTAGGTTGCCCTTTATAGGGAATAAAATCGGGAGTCGTGAACTGAAGACATGCCGGCAACTCTGGTCTTCTGGGACCATGGAGGTGATGTGCACGCTTACTGCGCAGCAGGTCAGAGAGGGCCATTTTGATCCGGACGTGTGTCACGTGTTCGTTAAGAAATACACTGTTTCCGAACGGAAAATGGCGACCCCAACTGCAGGGATACGCGCAGTCACTGTTGCGTGGCTCCCGAGTAAACTCCGAGACGGCATGTTTACTCACCATGCCGACAAGCGCCTTCAGAAGCGCTGGTCGGACGCGCCCATTAAACTCGGCATGCCGTTAAACGCGCGTGGTTTTAATGTTGCACTCAGCCAACTCGCGCATCATAAGAGATTCATCTCTTTCGACGCCACGGCCTTTGACTCGACTATACCGTCTGATGTGTGCATGAAGGTCGTGGCCAAACTCCGAGCACGCGGCTTTGACACTCACGTGGTGCGTGACAGGATTGCCGAAGCGCTAAAGGTCTCGTACACCGCCGTCCAACAAGGGCCTACAAGGGTACCTTGTTGATTTAATGTCCGGTAATGTGTGCCACAAAAAAAGGTGCGGCGCAACGGGCAGGAAGGGCATGTCGTCTGACAACAGTCTGTCCTTGCTGGCAATGCTCTTGGACGCGTATCTCGCTTGGGTACCGCGTGCCTCCTTGGAAAAGGACACTACCTTCACAGACCCTTCTCTCCAGCCAGTTCACATTGCTAGTACAATCCATTACGACTCCGCCAGACAAGCCTCAACACCACGTTGTATTTTCCCCTGGATACAAAGACAGAATTAAATTTACTAAGTCTAAATCCCGAGGCCACCCTTCTCGATATTGGTTCGAGCTAGTCTCCTCAGAAGCAACGCGTTACCTCAACCACCACATCGACCACACTGCCAGACCCCGCCCAGAAGGCTATAGAAGAGACTTCCTGGGGTTGAAACAACACCTAAGCCTAGACCCTACCTTCGGTGATCGCCTGACGACTGCGCCAACGCGCGCCCCTTCGCTTTTCCCGCTGTGCCAAAAGACCGTCGGCTGCGCATGGCAAACATAAAAAAAATCCTAAACCCTAAGCCCTAAGCCCTAAACCCTAAACCCTAAACCCTAAAACCTAAAAAAAAACCCTAAACCCTAAACCCTAAACCCTAAACCCTAAACCCTAAACCCTAAACCCTAAACCCTAAACCCTAAACCCTAAACCCTAAACCCTAAACCCTAAACCCTAAACCCTAAACCCTATGGAAGAAATGGAAAGGGCCTT